GTTCATTAGCAAGATTTTGGATTCTGGACACGCCTCCAGAACCGGTCCTGAAGTGCGGGTGGAAATCCTACGTGTAAAGATCTGATCTGAGCAGAGTAGGGCTGAGTAGGAGCGGTGGAAAAGGGGCATTAGTGATATGTTTCTAAATGGCAGCGAGCGCTCGGAGCTCATAGAGAGCCCAGCGGGAGATTGCCTCTTTCCTTGCCAACTCATTCTGATTTCTCTCTGTCAGGGAAGCATCCGCTCTGCCGCTCGTACATGTTGAGATAAGAGCGTGGAGGCAACGGAGACGAATGGAAAAGAGTAAAAGGAAGAGGGCAAGAGTGCAGAACCCTAACCGAAAAGGGTTGAGCAACGGTACATTGATTGTGGAAAGAAACAAAAAGAAAACTGGTTGCTTCACTCAGTAAGTGGTCGAAAGAGATTCAGGGAGGCTCACGTGAACGTTTGGCCCAATTTGTCAGAAGCTGGCCGGCTTGAACTTTCCGAGGAAGACAGCCGCTCACTTGTACCTCCACTCGACCGTGACATTTAGCTCAGACGGCATGACTCTGTTTTAAAGACTGATGATGCCAAAGAACCGGAACAACTTCAGTAACGGTATTTGACAAAAACCGTGTACTGTAATGCAAAAAGGCAAACCGTTCAAAAGTACAAAGCGATCAGTGGAAAATGCTCATTTCACCTTTGGTTTTTAAGTGAGAGCTGGATCAGAGGAGATTGGTGACTGAATCGAGGGGTTTGGGGGTGAAATTGGGGCTGATTCCAGTCTAGGCTTTGCTTTAAAAATAAAAGACTTTAATCTGAACTTCTCACCATTGAAAGGAACTCATCTGAGGCGATTTAGCAGAAGGACTCCCACACACAGTGAACTGCAGTACCCAGGATGAGGAAACATGCAGCCATGAAGTATTGCCTCCAAAAGCTGAGCGAACTTACTGCTGAGGTGATTTCTTTGTAACGGAGGCAGTACAGCATGGCTTTGTTATAGTTAACAAATCCCATGAAGAAAAACAACAGTCTCAGTCTGTTCCTCAAATCCTTTCTGACTTTTCAATTGCTTTCATCCTTAAGCCTATTTGTTCCTGCTCACCATGGAAATCTTTCCCAGAGAGAAAACAGGTCACACGTGTTAGATTTCTTTTTCTTTTTTGTGTTCAACAAACACAACTATTACTAACAAGAGGTGTGCGCTTCTTTAAGAGGATTTTAGTTATTTCTGCAGCAGGATGGTGTATTAGGAACTGACTTTCTTTCATTCAGCCTTTAAGCTATTGGTTGGCAAAAGGAAAAATAGATCAATATATTATAAAGAAAGACTTGCAACTTAACCAGTTCTTCTATAGCTTAACATTTTTATTTTTTAACGTTTACCAAATCATCTGTCCTTCCATTATACTGTTGAATGTACTGGTGGCTTAACCTTTCAGGTGCTGACCTTGGTGGCTTAGTGGTGTAACAGCGGGGGTTGAGTTTAATCTATCCGTGCCACATTGGTCCTTTCGTAATCACACTTAGAAAGGAAGATAATGACACTTGAGTGTTTTATGATCAAATTTTCCACTCAGGCGTGTTGAGTATTTAATTGTAATTATCTACGATTTCAGTTTTTATAGATTTAGATTGAACTTTGTTGGTTTTATCTCTTTATTATTTAGAAATTGCTCCTAAATTGCCTTTTAATGTAAACACTCGTTTTTCATGTAGTGTTGTCAGAGTGACCCACTTCATTACTGTGCATTATGTCAGACATGTGAGTCGGTCTCCACAGAAACCTATGATTCACAGATGATGGCTACTCCACCAGCTTTGCTCTGTATACAGACTCTGTTCTTTACGTATGGTAAAGTTGTGATGCTGCCACAGACTTGGGGATTTTTCTTCCCTCTCAGAATCAAACCGCTCGCCTTTGCCTGTTTGAAGTCATTATGAAAATGGCTAATCGGGGTCTTCATTCAGTTTTATAACCTTCTTCTCGAGTCATCCTCCTCCATCTCTGTCCTCATTCCAACTACCCCCATGTCCTCTCTAACTTCATCCATATCTCCTCTTTGTCTTTTTCCTGGCAGCTGCATTTCTAACATCCTTCTACCAGTATACCCACTGTCCCTCCTCTGGACATGTCCAAACCATCTCAGTCTGGCCTCTCTAACTTTATCTCCCAGTTGTTCAACCTGTGCTGTACCTCTGATGATCTCATTCCTCATCTTATCCATCCTTGTCACTCCTAAGGAGAACCTCAACATCTTCATCTCAGCCACTTCCAGTTCTGTCTCCTGTCTTTTTGTCCATGTCCATGTCTCTGTCTCCAGACCATACAACATAGCTGGTCTCACCACTGTCTTGTAAACTTTTCCTTTGACCTTTGCTGACACCCTTTTGTCACATATCACTCCTGAAACTTTTCTCCATCATGCCTGGATTCTCTTCTTCGCCTCTTTACCACACTCCCTATTTTCCTGGACAGTGGACCCCAAATATTTGAAGTCCTGCACCTTTGTGACCTCTGTTCCTTGTAGCCTCACTGTTCCACCGGCCTTCCTCTCATTCACACACATGTACTCTGTTTTACTACAGCTGACTTTCATTCCTCTTCTTTCAAGTGCAAATCTCCACCTCTCCAAGTTCTCTTCCACCTGTTCCCTGTTCTCACAGATCTCAATGTCATCTGCAAACATCATTCAGTTTTATAACCAAAATGTTACATTTCTAGTCATAAATGGAAACGACTAACTTTAACATTCTTTCTTGTTAAAGTTCATAAAATGCAAAGTGTTTAACATTTTTTCTCACTGCAGATCTATTTTACGTAACAAATCACAACAATATCTATAAACATTTGTTTTAAAGTAGGAACTGCATTAACCCAGAACTACAAACCTCCTGCTAAAGCTAGAAAATTATGATTTATTGTAAACGTTCTTGTTTCTTGATTTCATCGATACATAATCTTCCATTTCTAAATCATGTGTTTTAATTTATTTATTTTTGATATTCAATATTATAACACTTTCAGCTACACATATTGTGATTCTTCCACATGTTTGAGCTTTTTATTAGTTTTTTTTTTCTGTTTCTGTTTTTCTAAAATTTTATATATCCAATTTAGAAACTGGTGTACTTAGAAGGTTTTGTGACTTATCTTTCTGTAGCAATACTTTGCATTTGTAATTCATACTACTTCTTCTCGTTAGATAATCATATTTATTCCTATATGCTCTGTTTACCTTCTATATCCATGCTACGATTGAACATTTGTAATTCTCCTGTCACTTTTTTTTATCGTACATATTTGTCATGTTTTAACCAGATAATAGTGGGTATGAACTGAATATTCATTGTGAATAAAAGTATAAATTTAACTCTCATTACAGCAGTTTTCATTATGTACTGAAATTTCACAATTGTCACTCAACGCCCACCTTAATCTCCAGATTTGGCTCCATTTTCCTTCAAAGTCAGCTTCAAGTAGAAGAGTGGGCACTGTTAACAGCAGAAAAGAATAATTAATCTATCATTATTCCGTTAAACTTTGTTCTCAGGATAACAAGAAGCACTTTTCTTGGATGTATGTCTCCGACTTATCAAAGTTAACTTGCAAATGTCAGTTTTGGGCTAATTAAAACACTACTTTTTTTTTCATTTGCATTGATTTAATCTGGGAGTTTTATCTGTAGTTCTTCCTCATGTTTTATTTAAAATATAATTTAACTTTGTGTTATCCAGACACAACACACAAGCTGATATTTGATATGCAGCATTAACAAATCCTATCTAAATCACTTATACAAACAAGCCCAGTTGGAGCTGTGCTTTGAAGCAGTTGTATTGATGTTAGGCCTGTCACGATAACAAATTTGCTGGGCAATTAATTGTCTCAGAAATTATTGTGATAAACAATAATATTGTTTTAAATTTGACAATAATTATTGTCAAATTTAAGAAGAAATGTTGCTTAATTTTTGTGTGTAGTACCTATTTTTGACCACCGGATGGCAATATAAGACTGTTTTGAACTGAAAGATGGCTAGTGAGGGAACGAGCAGCGTGTCTCTTTAAGAAAAATGAGAGGGAGGCCCCTTGACGTGACGTGGGCTGTCTCTCATTCCTGTTTTTCGGTTCTCAAAATGGCGGCGGATGCTCGGTGTGGTTTGAGCTCATTAGCATAGCATTTGGCACACAAAGCTTTTAATAAAAAAAAACCCAGTAAACAAGTTCTCAGCTTCTTTTTGCAGAGAAAAACTACTTTTTACACAAAGGCATGAGTTTCAACCGTGAATTTTGGAGCTTTGACAAGACGGAGGTTTTTCCCGAGGTTGGCCTGTTAGCTTAGCTCGTAGCTTAGCTTCTCAGCTTAGCTGCTTTTAACGATCCAAAAACACAATTTTGGACGGTTAAAATTGATTTATTTATTAATTTATTTTTTAAGAGAAAGGGAGGGGTCAGTGAAGAGCACCGGAGTTGAGCCTTTTGTCATCCAGTGTCTTCAGTAGAAAGAGAGACACGAAGAAACGATGAAGCCGATAAATGAAAATGAGGTTAAGTTTAATTTATCATGCGATTAATTGATTTATTGTTTATTGCGACAGGCCTAATTGATGTTATTAAAAAAAAAAATAGTGCTAAGTACACAGCCTGGTTCATGGAGCTCAGGAGCTTGGAGCTCCTCCAACGCCTCAACGTTGCAGGAAAAACAATGTGAGCAGGTCGGTAAAAATACTTCATGTGGTGTAGCACAAAACAAAATGTTTTTTTCTTTTGGCTTCCAGAGTTGGCTAATGATGTGAAAGATTTATTCTTATTGCTCAAATTATGAAGACAGACTTTATTTTTTTGCATCATATCACACAAACAGTCGGCAGGAATTCTGAGTCTGTTCTTTCTCCCTCCAGCTTTTCTTATTTTTTTAAATAAATGTCTTACTCAACGTTTTTTTAATGCAACTGTCTTTCTTGAGTAAATGCTGACACAGAGCTGCTCTGTGTGTTTTTCTCTTGTAGTCTTGTGAATGGAGAAAAGCTTAAAGAGATGTACTCATACGTGGACCAGCTGCCAGTGTCTGAGATCATCCATCAGGTGAGAATAAAACCACCAGGGTCACTTCACTCAAACCCACTCTTTGAGGATAAATCTTACGCTCTCATCTTTTACACGCTCATGTTAGCTGGCGCTCACGTTTATGCTAGCTGGAGTGTGTCCACGCTTGTCTCCAATTTGGACTTAGAACAGAAAAGTTAGGCGTAACGTGTACCAACAGATGTCTTTGTGCCGTTTCCATGGTGACGGTTCTAAGTGTGAAATGTGACTGCCTCTCGGTCGGTGTGCGGAGGGGCCACCGTGAAATCCAGCAGAATGGGTAGGCAGGATTGTGGAGGAGAATTGTGTATTCACCTCATTCCCAAATGGATTGTGGCTTTCAGTCAGGTCGACCTTCACAAATGAACACCTCTTCCTCCTCAATCCATCTTTTGAACATGCACGCTGCATTCAAAATGGTTGTTCTTTGGTCTCGTATCACCCTTGTAAGATTTTTCCATTATGAGGCCATTTAAAATACAATTTCTGTTCTCCCACTTCAGAAATGCAAAGGAGCAGCGTTAACCTTTACCAGAGGCAAGTCGGCAGCTGACACTGTTGGTGCCTTGGTTTAGTGTTCACTTGTCTAAGTCTAAAGTGCAGTGTGAACATGCACACATCAGCACACATCGAGTATTTTCTATATTTAGATTGTAGTTTTAGGTTATTGGGCTGTTCGCATGAAGGATGAATGCAAACTTTAAGTTGTTTAATGTTAATTATTAGGGGTGGGAGGGCTGCGATGCAATTATAAAGCAATCAATGCATTTCAATTATTATGAAACTTATATTGCTATGGCTTATTTTATATAAATAAACTCTGATTTATACCTTTTCATAATTATAAACCGTCACAACAACCTGTCAAAATCCCTAATAATCACTGACTGTTTATCAACAGCATAGATGCTAATTTTAATTTAGAAATCCTAAAATAGAAAAGCTAATGCAATTAGCATTGTGAAATTTATCTACAAATCAACCATTTTAAAGTGGCTACAAAAGACAGTCATGTATCGATATGTGTTAAATAAAGACATGAATGAATGAATACGGTACCAAACAAATAAAGGTTTCCCTGTGTTCATCAAAAAATGCAATTTATTCGCCATATAACTACGAACAAACAGCTTTATTAATCTCAATGGGCAATTAGAAAATGTTTATCTTCACATTTTTTCACATCATTCAATAACTTGTTCACCTTTTTTATTTAATGGCAGCAGTTAACTTTTTCCATCAGTAGGTTTAAGTATTTCATGACGCAGATGGATGTTGTCCATAAAATATTAAAAAACGGACTATTTATTAAGCTGCAATGAGTTTTTTGCTGACCAAAATGTGACAAGCAGTTGTTTTCCCTAACTTTAAATACATAAATACATAGCAGCTAATCTCTGTGGCTGAATTAATGCCAAGTGTCAAATCTGGCTTTTTTATTTTATTTTTATTTTTAAGCTTGAGCACTATCGGTTGGTGCAGAGAAATTAAGCTGACCACAAGCCTGAGCCCTGTCAGAAGCTTACCATCATGATGGGAAAACAGGAGGGGTCTCCAAACCTCGCAGCAGTCTGGCATATTAGCTCACAGTGGTCTGAGGAAGGTTTGCTAGCATCAGGCTCGCTGCCTGCAGCTCCCTGACGAGTGCCTCATAAACCGTGTTTACGCCTTAAAAATTACAGTCACACAAGTGAAAACTTGCAAACACACCCCATTAAGTCTCCTCCATCTGCTACTTGGATTCATATCTCGGCTTCTTCCCTTTTCATCTCCAACTCCTCTTTTTATCTTCAGATTCATACATTTTATATTTCTCGTGTTGTTGAAAATGCAGCTACACACACAGAGCTCACAAACACTCTCTGCAGCCCACTGACCCCTGGCTGAGATTTTGATTATTGGCTAACTCTCCCGCTGGGTTGAAGATGGGAGTCTCGACAGACTGAGCCATTTCTCTCCCCTTCGCCGCGGTCCATCTGCACTGCAGCACCGACTCCCCCTGACAGCTCCACTCTTTTTTGATTACCGTATTTTCCAGCATATAATTTGCTCCGTAGTATAAGTCACATCAGTCAAAGAAAGCATCATGAAGAGGAATAATAAAACGTATACAAGTCACCTCGGCATATAAGTTGCATTTATTATGCGTCACCGCTGACGTGTCGCGTTTATTATGCATTTAATTGTCAAAACGGCTTCATTTCACCTGGGCGGCATGGCGCCATCCATCCATCGTGGCCGGAGCCGCTAGCTCTCCAGCGTTCCTCCGCCTGCACCAGCTGAGTGAAGCACGGGAGGACTCGCTGTTGCAGTCCTTAGAAATTTAACAGGATTAACACTTAAGAAAAATAGTTTGTTTGCTCGACATTATAGCAAAGCTGTGTCTCAGTTAGGCCTGTCGCAATAAACGATAACTCAATTAATCACATGATAAATGAAAACAGGCAGCACGGTGGTGCAACTGGTAGAGCTGCTGCCTCTCAGCAAGCAGGTCCCTGGTTCAAATCCCGGTCCGGGGCCTTTCTGGGTGGAGTTTGCATGTTCTCTCCGTGCATGCGTGGGTTTTCTCCGGCTACTCCGGTTTCCTCCCACAGACCAAAAACATGTTGGTAACTCTAAATTGTCCCTAGGTGTGAGTGAGAGAGTGAATGGTTGTTTGTCTCTGTGGCCCTGTGATGGACTTGCGACCTGTCCAGGGTGTACCCGCCCCTCGCACCGTGATTGCTGGACATGGGCACCGGCAACCCCTGTGACCCAAAATGGAAGAAGCAGGTAAAAGATAATGGATGGATGGATGGACTTTATCGCTTCTTCGTGTCTCTCTCTTTCTACTGAAGACACTGGATGACAAAAGGCTCAACTCCGGTGCTCTTCACTGACCCCTCCCTTTCTCTTTTCTCTTTAAAATCCTTTTTAACGGTCCAAAATCGCGTTTTTGGATCATTAAAAGCAGCTAAGCTACGAGCTAAGCTAACAAGACGACCTCAGGACAAAACCTCCGTCTTGTCAAAGCTCCAAAATTCACGGTTGAAACCCGTGCCTTCGTCTAAAAAGTTGTTTTTCTCTGCAAAAAGAAGCTGAAAACTTCACTGATTTTTTTAATTTTTATTAAAAGCTTTGTGTGAAAAATGCTATGCTAAAGAGCTCAATCCACACCGAGCGTCCACCATTTTGAGAACCGAAGAGAGACAGCCCATGTCACTTCAAGGGGCCTCTCTCCCATTTTTCTTAGAGACACGCTGCTCGCTCCCTCACTAACCAACCTTCGGATCAAACCGTCTTATATTGCCATCCGGTGGTTGAAAAATGGTACTACACGGAAAACAAATTAAACATTTCTTCTTAAATTTGACAATAATTACTAATTGTCAAATTTCAAACAATATTATCGTTTATTGCAATAATTTCTGAGACAATTAATCGTCCAGCAAAATTTGTTATCGTGACAGGCCTAGTCTCAGTTGAACTTTTCCTTAATAATGCATTTTAATGGTCAAAACAGCTTCATTTCACCTGGGCGGTGCGGGGCCATCCGTCGGTCGGTCGATCTATCGGTGACCGGAGCCGCGAGCTCTCCAGTGTCCCTCCGCCTGCACCAGCTGAGTGAAGCGAGCGAGCAAGGGAGGACTCACTGTTGCAGTTCTTCGAAATTGAAAGCTTCACTCAAAAATTGCGTTATGAATATGAAAAAAAACACAAGTCGCTTCAGTGTATTAAGTCGCAGGGCTGACAAATCTACGCAAAATACTGCGGCTTATACACCAGAAAATAGGGACGTTGTCTAATGCATCATCTCTTTGTTTTCATGAGGCTGTTGCTGCAACCTCAGACTTTCTCACCTGAAGATGGAGATGGGGCCGAGCCTCGCACGACAAACAGATTCTCTTTTTAATTTGATTTTAAAAGAAAGAAGTGGGTCGCTGCTGGCAAATATTCATAACTTGTTTATCTTCCAAGATAATGACTTGCAGATTAGTTGACTGCTTGCAAATAAAAAAGTAATCAGATTGATTGACAGTAAATGTATAAGGTTTGTGTGCATCATTGGTGACTTGATTAATCCGTTATCATTGAAGGTGTTGCCTCTATCGCTGTCCAGCCTTATCTCATTCTGCTGCCAGCATCTAATCACATTATGTTCAGCACTGGAAATAACTCAAGCTCCTTCTTTCTCCCCCCTTCCTTTTCCTCTTTTGTGTATTGAACTTGTTTTCATTTCTGTGTTGCTGAGAGCTCTGCTCTCTGGCGTCAAATTGTTATTTGTTCTTTTGCCAGCTTGACGCCACCCCATATGGCTCTGGAGAATTGAAAATGGAAACAGTGAAAATTAATGCGTTGCTTCCCTCCCATCCCTCGTAAATTCCTCCCGTCTTCAATCAGACTGCAACAATGACACTTTTCAAAACATGGATGTTGCGATTATTTAGATCAGAGGCCAATCCCAGTCTGTTTGTTTAATCAAATATCAGCTTGAATTTTCCTCAGCGCTCAGAAATTCATATTAGTCTCTACAGGAAAAGCAAAACGTGTTTCATAAAAGAATAAAACACCCACTTCTTTGACTGTCAGCACTTGCTGTGGGCGTAAATAACAAGGTCACGCAGAGAAGTGTCCCAGCGGTGCGCAGCAGAGCTGTTCCTTTATTTGAGTCTGCACAAACATAAATTTGCTGCAGCTTTGTCCTTGGAGCGCAAGATGTTTCAGACTTCCCTCAACGACAATAAGCGTCATGTTAATTAGCTTCAATCAGTCAGATGAAGAACCGGTAATTGATTTTATCGGTGAATTAAATACACAACATGGTGCATATGTAATGGGAATTGACTGCTTGTGTGTAGGTCCCCGTCCTCTTCTGTGAAGAGCTTTGTCAGCGAAGGTCGGAGAGCGCTCGCCACTTTTTAACAATCACTTTTATCTCTGTTTGAATGATCTTCTACTTCACTCGTATTTTTGGTTTTTATTCATTTTATTTGTTTTAAAAGAGTAAAAACTAAGTGCAA